CAGATGATAAGATTATCGTGTGTCGGGATTACTGTGTTTATATTATTTGTGCAACACTTAATGGAGACTTCACGGGAGAGCAGCATGATAAGGACGGAAAGAAGAATGGAAGAAAGAATGAAACGAACGAACAGAAAGAAAGATGGTGTATTTCACCACAACTGTGAGCAATTTACAAGCAGGCGGGCAGCAGGCGGACAGACAGACAGACCAATAGGTACATGTTAATATTTTAAAAATAAGCATGCGAGCAGGCAAAGGGACAAATCCACAGCCAGAAGTGACATTAATATACAGAATTACAGAAGTTCATAGATAGACAGGCGGGTTATCAGGCAGCTTCATGAGCAGAGAGAGAGAGAGAGAGAGAGAGAGAGAGAGAGAGAGAGGGAGAGAGAGAATGAATGTTGAAATAAATACTACAAATACCGATAATGTACAAACTGAAGAGGAGCTGAAAGCATGAAATTTCGAGATGGAGAGGGAGAGAGAGAATGAATATTTGGTGAAATAGAGAAAAAAAAAACGGATTTTTTCTTGGAATAAAATTTAGAGTTAACACAGCCCGAAAAGTCGTCTGTGCCCACAATCCAGTCAGTTGAAATGACGGATGAGGTGACGGCGTACAAATGATAAGCGGGATTTCCATTCATCTCGACCGAAGGTCACCAAGGTCGTGACCTCGCGTGACACGAGGATGACAGAAAAGCGGCGCATTTAGCGACAAACTTAAACGACATCTACATTTCAAGAAATTTTTGTCGTTATCTAATAATACTTTCATACTTGATTCCATTGTGACACAAAATATTAATCCAACACAGCAGAATATTTCATTTCGACCAAATAAATCATAAACCTTGTCAATAAAGCATTTATCTAAATGAGCCTTGTGCAAAGAAGCATACTTTTTTACAGGTTTTGGGGGTTAGCTCCTAAATTTGCAGTTTTACTTTGTATCTAAAGCAAGAAACGTTTTTAGCACTGTTCGCGTCTTTGTCGTATAATTATGTTAAATATGAATCGACAAATTGGAGTGTAAATGAGTCACTGACCCCAGAGATATGGGGGCGAATGCAAGCGACATCTGATATCTTTAATGGTGATTGTGCATACATTTTTTATCATCAGAAGCTAGCCGGCTTCCTATTTAAGTAGCAACAGGCGTGGGAGACCGCACTTGTAGCAGTATGTACGCTTGAATATATCGAGATGCTTGGTGACATGGGTTGACGCGTTTTCTTTTTTCTTTTTCGTAGGCCTACTTTTAAAACTTTTATCTCCGTATGATATCCGAAAATTCTTACTACATGTACAAACTCCCCCTCTCTCTATGTCGCTCTCTTTCTCTCATTCCACACCAGAAACACATATAAACGATTTAAAGGATTCTGACACAATTTGCAGGAGTAAACAGAATAACACCCAAAAACAACATTTGGATCACTTGGGCAAACAGAGGAAAAATGCTCTGACCCTGAACTGAGGGCGGCATTTTTTCGATTATGCTGGGTTTTTTCTGAAGAAACAGACCTACACAAAGTGACAGCTTATAATCAGGCCACGGAGGCACCTCCCCTGAATTAACTATAAGTAAGCTGACCTCTTGGTTGTTGACGTTACTACAGAAAACACACGCACAGATAGTTTTATGGGTGTTTTAAATCACGATATGGTGATATACGGCGATAACGTTTTTTACTAATATAATATAATATAATATAATATAATATAATATAATATAATATAATATAATATAATATAATATAATATAATATAATAATATTGCTCTGATACAGAAAATTGTCTTTTTGCAATGAAGACGTTTAACGTACAGGCTTGATACAAAACATGCGCAATATTCCGCGTTACTAACAACGAAGAACGAGCACAAATACTGCACATACGACAAATTTTGTTGACAGTGAATGAAACCAAATGTTTAAGCCGTGCCTAAAGGTTAACTTAAAAACCATGTCTCGGAACGTCTGGCGCTTCAATGTGTGATTGCAACTGTGCTGTGTTCGCAAAATGTGAAAATCTGTCGGTCCGATAACTGCATGGACTTCGACTTTTAAGCCTTTTGTGAATATTTTTTGGATGTTGGGTTGGGGAAAGGGTAGAAACGAAATAGTCTATTTTTGTTGCATTACGTGATACGTGATATTATACGCATCCAGATTAAAGTTAAAGCAGTCTGTTGTACCAGCAACTACAATAAAGCCATTTCAACTAATTTTCACTGTCCACATTTGTTCTTCGAGATAAGTATATTGATTCTGTTGTTTACTGACTGTTAGTGTTTTGTTCGTGTAAAAGGTAGGCCTCACCACACCCAAAGCAGAGAAAAACAGTAAACTACTCCACATCGTTCTTTTTTTTCTCCTTGCTCTGAAGTTCATTTAGTCTTATTAACGGGATGATGGGGTATCATACATATGATAAATGCCGAGTTATGGAATAGAGACGCTTGCGCTCGGTCGCAATTCGCGATGCTTTCGAGTTACGGAGCCCTGGTCTGACAGAGAAAGATACTGTTAGCATGCCAGCTTACAGCGCCTCATACGGCAGCTGGGCTGTGTACATGTACGAGATCGTCCCAATATGTAGTGACCAGGCGTCTAACTGTTTTTTATACTGCATTAATATAATATAATTCACATAATTGCACCTTAAGTTGCAAATAAACAATATCTAGGGCACAGAAATGAAAGCTCGTTTGATTTTGACTAATTTTTTACAAAATTATTATTATTATTTATTTATCCGGGGTTTTTTTTATACATCTGATCTCACCTAGATAAATGGATACATAACAGCTGATCTCACTCGGTGTATTCCTTTTCTGTTGTAGAGAACCTCAGAGTCTGCTATCTGCAAATCTAACTGAATGCATTGTGCAACTTATGCTAGGCTTCTCTGCCGCATTTTACTCCCCAATATTGTCTATTCAACACCAATTCAACTCCCAGAAAGCATTTCACAATGAGGCACTACTGTTACTTCCCTGAGTTTCACAGATTACTAGAACTTTATTTTTTTATTTCTAGCTTCAGCATGTCTCTGCTTGTTTCTGTTAATAGAAATGATTTTACTGAAACATCTAAAAATGTGTGTTACTTGTGTGAAAATAACCTTGGGTAAATGTGTCTTAGTTCGGACCAACTGCACGTGCGTTTTCATTGTCTGATTTAGCTGTCATCCTTTAACTTGTTCACATGCAATGTGTATTTTCTAAATTCTATTTTCTATTCGCGCTATCTTATGATCACGGTCTGTGCCCTGAATATCCCGCGCCGTAATTACTGGCTGTGCGAGCCAGTTACTATAAGTTACTAT